AAGGGGACCAAGGACAGGTCTACCAATTCCAGGTCCCATAGACACTGCTCCGACAAGAACACCAAATCGGGAGTGTCACCACTATTACTAGCTAGGTTCTGGATAATCTGGGACAGGCCCATGGAAGTCATGGTTTCTATGAAATCTCGGGCTACCTCCGACCCCGACCTCAGAGAAGGCAGGTTGAAACCCCCCAGAACTATATAAGCCTGGGGAATTCCACCGCCAGCCCTGCGGTGAGGTCCAGGAGCCCAGGTAGGGAAGCTGCCACGCAGCAGGGAGGCTGGTATAGCAGCAGCAATCCCACCTGATCCCTTGAGACCAGTCTAAGAAAAAAAGATTAAAATAATTAATTAAAATACACTTGTAAAATAATCTAACATCTAATATGTGAAATTCAGGATATAGACCAGAGCTCTCCAAACTTGGCAACTTTAATACTTGTGGACTTCAACTCCCATAATTCTGGGAGTTGAAGTCCACAAGTTGCCAAGTTTGGGGACCCCTGGTATAGACTGTATTGAACTGCAATGTAAACACTAAATCATATTAAATATGACATCTAAAATCACAATGAAGTATCTATTAGGTATTCATGCTGGCTCAGAAATTCTGGGAGTTGAAATCCACAAGTTGTAAAGTTGCCATAGTTGCTGACTCCTGGTTTACAGGTAGTTCTTACAACTGTTCGCTTAGTGACCAAAGTGATAATGGTACTGAGGTATGGCCATTTTTCACACTTACAGGTGTTGCTGTATTCCTGCGGTGACATCATCGTGATCCCAGTACTTGGCAACTGGCATGTATGAATGACAGTTGCAGTGTCCCGGTATCATGGGGTCACCTGTTGCGATCTGCTGACAAGCAAAGTTGGTGGGGAAGCCAGATCCACTTAAGAAATAGGTTATTTTTGAGCCGTGGTGGCGCAGTGGTTAGAACACGGTATTGCATGTTAACTCTGCTGACTGCCAGCAGTTTGATGCTGATTGGCTCAAGGCTGATTCAGTCTTCCATCCTTCCGAGGTCGATAAAATAAGACCCTGATTGTTGGGGGCAAGAGGCTGACTCTGTCAACCTCTTAGAGAGGGCTCTTATCAGTTAATTCACTTAACAACTGTGGCAAGAAAATGGAGCAAATCTCATTTAACAACTGTCTCACTTAGCAATAGAAATTGTGGCCAGGAGTTGACAAGTACCTACAAAGGATTTCTAATAGATTCCCAATTGTTTTATTAAAGGAACTATTTATCAGAAAGATCTGGTTGATTAGGTTCTGCTTGGCAAGCAGAAGTTCAATAGGGAGAACCTCCTCTATAATATTTTGGGGTGAAGCAAACTTCACCTGTAGCTTCTCTACCTGCTTTTAAACATCAAGGTGTGAAGGAACCCACTAGAACTGGTCTGCAACGCTAGACAAGGCCTCAAGGTGGCAGTAAAGAGGCCAAGGAATCATCTTCTGCGTTTGCGCAGACAAGAATCTCTTCGCTTCTCTCACCATGAATAAACCAGAGCGTCCCACGCTCGGCGCTTTCCATTGGCCTAACTGAAGAGGGGCGGGGCAGGAGAGGCCGCCTTTCCCAAGCTAATCTAATTGTACTTACTCTCGCGTTCCGGGGAAGCACCCAGAACCCGGAGAATGCGCATGCTCAGTCGAGGACTATAAATAGGAAGCGCCTGAAGATGGACGCCCCATTTTGTGCCGCACCCAGGTCGTGGCAAGAGGGAGCCGGCGGAGAGGGGCAAGCGAGACTGCGTCAGAAAGGGGTGGGGCTGTATCTATTTATGAAGCTATTCCGCCTTTTTACAAGCTTCCGTGGGTGGCTGAAACTCGAGAGGACTTTACTTTCCATTTTTGATATTGTTCGTTTTTAAAGTTAGAACGGGGGGTCGCTTTAAAAGACTTCCTTATCTCCAAAGCAAAAACAAAACATGCATTTGCACCGTGAACTCGAGACAGAAGTCCCCAGCCCTCAAAACCATGCAAAGCAGCCTACCATTCATAAGCTGGGACAGATAAACTTGGACTCTGGAGTTGTCTTTTCTCTGTCCCCATTCAGAAGATGGCGTTGTTATCCCCAAAACAACCCTGTGAGGTAGACTAGGCAGAAACAGGTCTTAAAGGCCTCTGTCCTCTTAAGGATGCCTCATTGCTGGAGGTTTTCAGGAAAAGCCTAGAGAAGGGATTGCTTGGAATAATGTGGGGATTCCCTATACAGAACAGGGAAAGGGTTGGACTAGAAGACCTCCCAGGTCTCTTCCAGTCCTATGATGCTATGATCTATTACTGGACTGATACTGATGTTTCTCAGCCTCAGCAAATTTAAGTTGTGTGGACTTCAATTCCCAGAATTCCCCAGCCAACAAGACAGACACAGACTTCAGAGAATAATTAGGACTGCAGAAAAACAATTACCATCAACCTGCCTTCCATTAAGGACCTATATATTGCATGAGTCAAAAAGAGGGCTGTGAAAATATTTACAGACTCCTCACATCTTGGACATAGACTGTTTCAGCTCCTACACTCAAAATGATGCCGTAGAGCACTGCATACCAGATCAACTAGATACAAGGACAGTTTTTTCCCCGAACGCCATCACTCTGCTAAACAAATAATTCCCTCAACACTGTCCAACTATTTACAAAGTCTGCATTAACTTTTAGTTTTCCCATCCTTCCTTTCACCCATCTCCTCTCACTTATGACTGTATGACTGTAACTTTGTCGCTCGTATCCTTATGATTTATATTGACTTGTTTCCTAGTATCATTTGATTGCTCATTGTACCCTATGACTATTATTAAGTATTGTACCTAATGATTCTGGACTCTTGACAAATGTACCTTTTCTTTTATGTACACTGAGAGCATTTGCACCAAGACAAATGCCTTGTGTGTCCAATCACACTTGGCCAATAAAGTTATTTTATTCTATTCTATTCTATTCTATTCTATTCTATTCTATTCTATTCTATTCTATTCTATTGGCTGGGGAATTCTGGGGGCTTGAAGGCCATGCCTGCTGGCTGGAGAATTCCTGGAGTGGAAGTGCACATATTTTAAACTTATAGAAGTGGAGAAACACATTCACATTAAAGATCAGGCTACAGATCTCAGTTCTGACAGTGTACATAACCATCTGCCCATTGTTCAGACTTAAATCGACAAAGAATGAAGTCATCCAGAGCAATCACTTTTTTATCACAGGCATCTTGTTATATCCCATTTCCCCATTCATTTCCTGTAATTACAGAACACATCTTCTAATCTTAATTTGGCACATATTTTAAGCTTCAGGAATGCCATTTAATGTATATTATTAACCCTGTGGAAATAACGGAAAGGGTTCTGTAGCGCATCTTCTGACATTTTATTAAAAGGCAGAAGGTTCTGGAAATCTGCCTCTATTTTCTCAGGGGTCGCAGAGAAAAAAAGGGTTTAATATTAACATGCCTGAATACAGGTAGTCTTTGACTTAACAACAGTTCATTTAGTGACCAAAGTTACTAGTGGACCTGAAAAAAGGGGATTTATGGCTGCTTTTTACACTTATGACTGTGGCAGCATTCCCACAGCCATGTGATTTACATTCAGATGCTTGGCAACTGTCTCATATTTATGACGGTTGCAGTGTCCTGGGGTCACATGATCCCCTTTCGCAACCTTCTGAAAGGCAAAGTCAGTGGGGAAGCCTAAGTCACTTAACAACCGTGTTACTAACTTAACAACTGCAGTGATTCACTTAACAACGGTGGCAAGAAAAGTCATAAAAATGAGGCAAAACTCAACAAATACCTAGCAACATAGATTTTGGGCTCAATTGTGGTTGTAAGTCGACTATCTGTATGCCTGCCCTCGGTTGAACGGTCTGAATACAGGAAGGTATTTTTTGTAGCTGACAAAAGAGGAAATGAATCATTTCTGGATCACCTACTTTGGATTAATGCCCTCTCCTTATCTGTAAATAACTGCAACAAACCGTGGACCTTTTGAAATGGGAAAGCTGTATTCTTTAGGCCCTTTAGGGACAGGCAGCAACAGATATGTTTATCTCTTAATCATTTGACAATGGTGTTTTGGGTGAAATAGGTTTGGCCTGTAATTATAATGGTTAATTCATAGCAACCCAGATTGGAAGGGACCTCAGAGATCATTTACTCCAACCCCTGCCAGTGTATGCAATCCTTATATCATCCTGTAAAAATGGCCAGTCTTTTTTTCCTGAAAACCCCCAGTTTCCTGGCCTGCATCTTTTTCAGGGCTCAAGCAACCGTTTTATCATAAGGCAGTGGCAGAGATTGGTCAATTATGAATTTTAACACTATCATATAGGTAGCTCTCCACTTATGACCAGTTGGACAGCAACTGTTCTAAGTTACAATGGATCCAAAAAACATAACGGATTCAAAGTCCTGATGGCCAGCTCCAGAGGTGGGTATTCAGCAGGTTCTGACCCAGTTCTGGAGAACCAGCAGCGGAAATTTTGAGTAGTTTGGAGAACTGGCAAACCTCTGACTGGTCCCGCCAACCCCATCTATTCTCTGCCTCCCATTGAGTCCCAGCTGATCGGCTGGGTCTTCTTTGGTTGCCCTGCACAGGAGAACAGAGCTGGAAAGCAGGTTAGTGGGGTGGGGAGGGAATGGGATTTTGCAGTAACTTTCCCCCAGGAGTGGGGATTGAATGGGGATTTTACAGTAACCATCCCTTGCCCTGCCCACCAAGCCACGCCCACAGTACCGGTAGTAAAAAAAAAATTGAATACCACCACTGGCTAGCTCCCCTCCCCCACAGTCACATGATCACATTTTGGACACTCAGTATCTGGTTTGCATTTACAGCTGTTTGTGGCATCCCGCAGTCACATCACGACAGCAATTCATGCGCGTTTTTGCCAAAAACTTTACTGGTGTTCCTTGATTTGTTTAATGACCATTCCAAGTTACAATGGCAATGAAACAAGGGACTTATGACCGGTTTTCACACTTACAGCCATTGTTGTAAGTTACAACCCTCAAAACGACACTATAGGGCAGAGGTCTTCAAACTTGGCAGCTTTAAGACTTGTGGACTTCAACTCCCATAATTCTTCCTCCAGTCATGTTAGCTCAGGAATTCTGGGAGTTGAAGTCGCAAGTCTTAAACTTGCCAAGTTTGAAGACCCTTGATATAGGGCACTGCACACCAGAACAACTAGACAATAAGGACAGTTTTCTCTTGAATGCTAACAATTTCCTCAACATTCAAATTATTTACTAAGACTGTATTGCTATTATTCTTCTCATCCTTCTCATTAGCTATCTCTTCCACATATGACTATAACCGTGTCGCTTGTATTTTACAATTTATATTGTTTTGTTTTCCTAGTATGTTTTGAATGTGTATTAGTAACCTATGTATGATTTGATTGCTTACTAGTAATCTATGACTATCACTAAGTGTTGTATTATGATTATTGATGAATGTATTTTATTTTTTCTTTATGGAGCTTATGCATCAAGACAAATTTCCTTGTGTGTCCAATCACACTTGGCCAATAAAGAATTCTATTCTATTCTATTCTATTCTATTCTATTCTATTCTATTCTATTCTATTCTATTCTATTCTATTCTATTCTATTCTATTCCATTCCATTCCATTCCATTCCATTCCATTCCATTCTCTATTCTATTCTATTCTATTCTATTCTATTCTATTCTATTGTGTTATTCCCATGGTTATGTGATCAAAATTCAGATGTTTGGCAACTGGCATGTACTTATGACGGTTGCAGTGTCCCAAGGTCACGTGATCCTCTTTTGCGACCTTCTGACAAGCAAAGTCAATGGGGAAGCTAGATTCACTTAACAACTAACTTAACCACAACAGTGCTTCATTTAACAACTATGAAAGGAGGAACAAAAAATGGGGCAAAACTCAGTTTGACAACCATCTCACTTAGCAAAAATACATTTTGGGTTTAATTGTGGTTGTAAGCCGAGGACCAACTGTACTTCCAGTTTCCAGCAAAAAAACCAGCCATTGCAGACAGCGTATTTGCTTTACGACAGCAGTGTTTGCTTAATGACCACTGTCAAAAAGGTCATAAAATAGACCATAATCATATGGTGACTACTTAAGGATCACCGTGACTTACCACAGTAATTTCGGGCTCACTTGCAGTCGTAAGTCAAGGACTTCCTGTATGCAGCAATGACTGCCATCTAAAGATTTAGGGTCAAATGCTAAAAGTTATACCTGGGAGTCCCTTTTTTAGTTTTCTCAGCTGCTGTTTGCCTTCGAGCGGCTTCTCCAGAGAGGGAATTCTTAGGAGGAAAGCTCTCCGAACTTCTTGTGGGACAGGCTTTCTTTTCCAGAAATGAGGAATTTCCCAGGAAGGTTTGGTTACTCTGGAGCTCCAGAAAGTAGCTCGCCATGATTTCCAGGATGGTTTTTAAAGGAGTCTCTTTGGCCTGCAGTAGAAAAAGTTAAGATAAATGGGCCATTAGAATTAGGCTGACTCAGTTTTACTGTTTGCAAAAGACAAAAGAGTTGATTCCCAGCCTGCATATTCTAGGTTCAAGTCTCCCGCCTTTTGTGATATTTTAAACAATATAATGTACTATTAAATTAGAGCAGTGCATTTATTAGTAAACCAATGACTACTGACTGGATCATTTGTAAAATTTGTTTCTCTTCTCTTTCCTTTTTCCTTTCCTTTCTCTTTTCCTTTCCTTTATTTCTTGCTCCCTTTTCTTTTCTTTTGGTCTTGATTCCTTCCTTCTTTTTCCTCTTTTCCTTTCTTTCTCTCTTTCTCCCTTCCATCCTTCTTTCTTTCTTTCTGATTGTGTACAGGTAGTCCTTGACTTATGACCACAATTGAGCCCAAAATTTATATTGCTAAAACGAGACATTGGTTAAGTGAATTTTGCCCCATCTTACGACCTTTCTTGCCACAGTGGTTAAGTGAATCACTGCAGTTGATAAATTAGTAACCCGGTTGTTAAGTGAATCTGGCTTCCCCATTGACTGCCTTTGCCAGAAAGTCACAAAGGGGGGACACTGCAACCGTCATAAGTATGAGTCAGTTGGCAAGCGTCTGAATTTCGATCACATGACATGGGGATGCTGCAAAGGTCATAACTGAAAAATTGTTATAAGTCACTTTTTCCAGTGCTGTTGTAACTTTGAATGGTCACTAAAGGAACTGTTGTAACTTGACGATGATCTGTACAGAATAACAGAGTCGGAAGGGATCCTGGAGGTCTGCTAGTCAAGCCCTCACCTCAAGCAAAGAGACTTTTCTTAAGTACCTCCAGTGATGGAACACCCACAAGTTTTAAAGCACCCACTGATTAATTGTCCTCGCTGTGAGGAAATTTCTCCTTGGTCCCTAAGATCAATAATTATCATTTTTGGTGCTTTTAAAGAGGAAACTGACAACCAGTCATGAGTGATGTAATTAGTTGTTTTTGCACATTGCAGGGGATTAGAATAGATGACCTTTGTGGCCCCTTCCAACTGCTCACCTCGAACAGTTTGTCCCATCAAGGGTCTTGCTTATAACTTCCAAAGTGTCCTGGAAACCATTGTGCAAAAATTCAGAAATGCTGCCCTGTTTTTACCTTGTTTTGTTTGTATAAAGACTGGAGATTCAGAACATTCCGGAGCTCATTTCTGTTGTTGATGCTGAGTGCAGTACGGGGAAATTCTTCATCCAACATGGTACTTGTCTTCTTTAAGCCCTGGGCCAGAGGTAATGTTATAAATCAGCGTAGAAAAGTAACCTTAAATCTGGAATATGCAGCTGGTTAATTTAGACATCAGTGTAATAATATTCACAGAAGCTGTTGGTACATAACTCTTTTGTGTGTGTGTGTGTAAATTTTTTATTGATTTTTAAAAAACAAACATAAACAAACAAAACATAAAAACATCAACCTTTCTTCCATGAATATACAAGCAGTGTGCCGGTTGGTTTACAAATTTTTTGTGCATCCATTTCATAGTCATCAATTGCAGTTACATTGCATAATAACTCATATTCTCAATCAGAAATTAAATACCCTAGTATCATTATTATTTAATCATTTGACAATAATTTTATTCATTCATATTTTGCGAGATAACTATAATTTACTTAGTATCATTTTGTAACAATTCATATAATCTTCCCAAATCTATCCTAAAAATTTTTTTATAGATATAGTAAAAAAGAAAAAAAAATACATCTTTACATATTTATTATTTTCTAAGATTCTACATATTTCATTATTATTGTTCATCCTCTTGCTCTCTAATTTCAAATGTCAATCTACAGTACATAACTCTTAAAGAGGTTCAACTCCCAGAATTCCCCGGCCTGCGTGTTTTACGACGTGTGGACTTCAACTCCCAGAATTCCATAGCTGGCATGCTTAAAGTTGGGCAAATGTAAACTCCCAGAATTTCCCACCCAGCATGCTTTAAGATGCACAGTCCAATTCCCAGAATTCTCTTGCAGGGTCATTACTGAGAATTCTGGGAACTGCAGTCCCCATACATCTCCCAAGTTGCTGTGGCTGAGAAACACCGGTTA